CTGCTTTTAAGACTTTCTGTTTATCATCCTTATTTGGGCCAACTTGATTATGATGTACCTTAGTGTCTTTTTTTCATGTATCTTGCACTTGGAGTTCATTGAACTTTATGGATTTTTAGGTTCATCTTCATCATATTTGGAAAGTTGTGACTACTGTTTGTGCAAATATTTTTTCACCTCTTCTTCCTTTAGGGATTCTGTTTGTATATAAAAGTGCTTGAGGTTGTCCCACAGCTCAATGAAACTCTAATGTTTTTTGTTATTAATGTTTTTCCCTGTTTCATTTTTAGATGTTTTCTATTGTATATCTTAGTATTTCATTGCTGCCATAACAAGTTACCACACATAGTTTAAAACAACACAGATTTATTACCTTACAATTCTGTATTGCAGAAGCCTAACATAGTCTCACTGAGCTGAAATTAAGGTGTTGGTAGGCCTGCATTTCTTCTGGAGGGCTTAGGCAAGAATCCGTTTTCTTGGCTTTTTCCAGCTTCCAGAAATTACCTGCATTCCCTGGTTTGTGACCTCCTTCATTCATCTTCAGTCAGAAACAGCATGTTGATGGCCAGGTTTGATGTCTCATGCCTTTAATCTCAGCACTTTGGGAGGATGAGGCAGAAGGATCACTTGAGCTCAGGAGTTTGAGACCAGCCTAGGAAACATAATGAGACCCTGTCTCTACAACAACAAAAAAAAATTATCCAGGCATTGTGGCATGCATCTGTGGTTCCAGCTACCTGTGGTGGGCTGAGTGGGAGGATTGCTTGAGCCCAAGAGTTTGATGCTGCAGTGAGCCATGACTGCGCTACTATGTACTCCAGCCTAAGTGACAGAGGGACATCCTGAGACCCTGTCTCAAAAAAGAAACAGCATGTTGAGTCCTCTGCACATCACATCTCTCTGATTCTCTCTTTTACCTTTTGTTTTTCCCACTTTTAAGGATTTATGTTATTAGATTGAGCTCCCCTGGATAATCCAAAATTATTGCCCCACCTGAAGGCCAGCTAATTAGCAACATTATTTGCATCTGCAACCATAGTTTTCCATTGCCATGTAAAATAACATATTCACAGGTTCTGGGGCTAGGATGTAGGCCTCTTTAAGAAGGGTGTTATTTTGCACACCACAGTGTGTCGTTTGCGAATCATTTTTCTGCAGTGTCTAGTTTGTTAGTAATCCTATCTAGTGTATATTTCATCTCAGAATTTTTATCTCTAGAAGTTCAGTTTGGGTCTTTTTATATCTTCTGTGTCTCTACTTAACATCCATTAGTAGTACTGACATTCACTACTGCATGTATTCCCCCCTAAATTCATATGTCAAAGCCCTAATCTTCACTATGATGGTATTTGGAGGTAGGGCCTTTGAGAAGTAATTAAGTTTAGATTAGGTCATGAGGGTGGGAGCACCCATGATGGGATCCTTATAAAAAGAGAAAAGAAGACCACAGCTTGTTCTTTTTCTGACCTATGAGGATATAGTGAGAAGGTGGCTATCTGCAAGGCAAGAAGAAAGCCTTTACCAGAAATTGAATCTGCCAGTACCTTGATCTTGGACTTTCCAGCTCTAGAATTATGAGAAATAAAACCTGTTATTTAAGCCACCCAGTCTGTGTATTTTCTGTGGCAGCTGGAGTAAGACAACACCTTTAGTCTGTTTTTTGGAGACATGAAATACAGTTGTAATGACTAATTTATTTTTCTGATAATTCTAACGTTTGTGTCAGATCTGGGTTAGTTTCATTAGATTGAGTTCTCTTGTCATTAGGAATTGTTATTTTCCTGCTTCTTTGCTGGTGGTATTTGTTTGGGTGCCAGACGTTGTGAATTTTACCTTGTGTGCCTGGTAATTTTATATTTCTAAAAATATTATTGAGCTTTGTGCTGATACATAGTTAATTTACTTTAAAACAGTTTGATTATTTTAGGACTTGTTCTTCAGATTTTCTAGGAAGAACCAGAGTCACTTTAACCTAGGGCTAATTATTTCTCATTGCTGAGGCTGTACCCTTCTGAATACTCTACCTAATGCCTGTGAAATATAAGGTTTTCCAGCATGGCTGGTGGGAATAGACAGTATTCTTGACCTTCTGGGTTCTTTCTCTGGCCTTGGGTAGTTTTCTCACCTGTAGAATCTGATCAGTACTCCACTGAATACTTGAGGGAAACCCTTTGTAGATCTCTGGAGTTCCCTGTCTGTGCCACTCCCTTCTCTCTGGTTCTCCATCTGTAAAAACTGAATTATCTTGGTATGTTCTTTCTGGAAAAATGTTAAACTCTTTAATGGTTGGTAAGTTACATTTTTCTAGGAATTTGTCCCTTTGCCTTTGTATTTCAAATTAGTAGGCATAAAGCTGGTCATAGTATTCTCATCTCTGTTTACATCTGCTGACTCTGTTGTTATGTTTCCTTTTTCATTCCTTATATATTTATGCCTCTCTCTATTATTTCTGGACCAATTCTTTTATCCATTTTTAACCCTGCTACTTCTTTAGAAACTCAAAATAGTTTGATTCCTGCTATTGAAAATGCGAAACGGAAAATTAAATCCACAGTTTAAATAGGGAGGAGAAATGCAGTCTTAACAAAATGGCTGTGTTAACAGAATCTAACGTGTTAAACATTAAAGAGGCTGGCACAGTGGCTCATGCCTGTAATCCCAGCCCTTTGGGAGGCAAAGGTGGGCGGGTCACCTGAGCTTAGGAGTTCAAGACCAGTCCCACCAACATGGTGAAACCCTGCTTCTATGAAAAATACAACAATTAGCTGGGCATGGTGATGGATGCCTATAATCTCAGCTACTTGGGAGGCTGAGGCAGGAGAATCGCTTGCCTGGTAGGCAGAGGTTGCAGTGAGCCGAGATCACAACACTGCATTCCAGCCTGGGTGACAGAGCGAGATTCCATCTCAAAAAGAAAAGAAAATTAAAGATATCCATTATTTTCTATTCAGGAGGCTTTCAAAAATTTTGTGCATAAAAATCACTTGGAGTGCTGTTTAAAATGCAGATTACAAGGCACCCACCTCTAGAAAGTATGTAGCAATAGTAGTCTTGGCTCTGGTCTTGGAATTTGCCATTTTAATAAGCACTCAGGTGATTCTGAAGTGTGTGGCTGGAAAACTACACTTTGAAAAAATGCTCTAACTTGTGCTACAGACAAAAGACAAAGACTTTTAAAATCCTCCTGGTGTCTGGTCCCCAGGCTGCATCTTTCAACTTACACCTGTAGCCTTCTCATCCACAATTCCCCTTACCTTCATCTCACCCTCAAATAAGCTCTCTGGATGAGGTTTGTATTTTCTCATCTCCTGCTGAGACAACATTTTTTTTTTTTTTTGAGACAGTTTCACTCTTATCCCCCAGGCTGGAGTACAGTGGTGTGATCTCAGCTTACTGTAACCTTTGCCTCCCAGGTTCAAGCAATTCTCCTGCCTCAGCCTCCTGAATAGCTGGTATTACAGACACACACACTACCACACCAGGCTAATTTTTATACTTTTAGTAGAGACAGGGTTTCACCATGTTGGCCAGGCTGGTCTTGAACTCCTGACCTCAGGTGATCCACCCGCCTTGGCCTCCCAAAGTGCTGAGATTATAGGCATGAGCCACCACACTCTTAGACAACACTTTATAATAATCTCTAGAACTGATTTTTAAATTTCTAATCTAGTCAAGTGCCTGAGTTTAGCCTCAGGGCACTGTCCAGATTATAACAGATTTGTTATTTTCTGGACCAGTAGAAACTGGACCAAGTCACCTGGATTTTTGGTTCAGACACTCACTACAAATGGAGCAGGACTTCAGAGCAGATTATAGAAATATGTATCTCTTTTAGGAGCCAGTCCTCTCTAGGGATTCTCCTATTGTAGGTAAAGAGGCTCCTCCTCAGGTAGCTGAACTTCCTGAGTAGAGACCACAAAGCATCTGGACCTTCGTTGTGCGTTCTGGTAGGCCTTCCATGTGGCTCATAGTGCACCAAACCTCTATGTTGTCTCCCTAATCTTCTTGCCCTGCTATTGGCTGGTAGATTCCCCTTTCTGTCAAGTCTCAGGGGAATCACTGCAGCACTGACAACTTTTTCTAGGGCATCACCAGTGAGAGCAACTAGGGCCTTCCAAAAAGTACTGTCAGATGCCATGTTTTGTTCTCCAAATATTGTGGATTTACTCATATACAAATGAATATTCTGGGGCATACCAACTCATTTTCTCTGTATGAATATGAGAGGGATCCTTCTTCAAATATTAAAGGATGTTGAAGGTCTGATTGAGATTCTTTTTCTTCAAAGGATAGGAATTGTAGTAGTAGAGGGATAGGTTCACTGTTGAGGATGTTTAGTATCTGAAGAGAAGATTAATTTGATAGGTAAGTTTTCTCCAAAATTTTGCAAATTATAGAATAGAATGATAAAGTATTAGCCCTGGATGGGCCCTTGAAAGTCATTTAAAGCAGTCTCCTAGTAAAAGATACGGATAAGAAAGCCGAATTCCAGAAAGCTTGGGTGTTTTGTCAAAGGTCATATGGCTATTTGGTGGCTATACTATAAATATTAAAATATAATTGTTCATCAATTTTTAAAAATAATTGAGACAGGGTCTCACTCTGTTGCCCAGGCTGGAGTATAATAGCGCAAAGCTCATTGCAGCTTCAACCTCCTGGGTTCAAGCCATCCTCCCAACTCAGCCTCCTGAGTAGCTGGGACGATAGGTATGTGCCATCATGCCTGGCTAATTTTTTAAAAAACTTTTTGTAGAAATGGGGTCTTCCTATGTGGCCCAGGCTGGTCTCAAATTCCTGGGCTGAAGCTATCCTCCTGCATCAGCCTTTCAAAGTACTGGGGTTACAGGCTGCCCACCATGCCCAGCCTGCAATTTGCATCTCACTAATTATGACAGACCAGGAGCTGACAGATTAGGTTACCAATAGCCATAAATTAATTGAAATATTTACTAGGGTAGATTATGTCTAACTAATAAAGCTTTATCTTTGTGTTTCAGGACTTAAAACTGAAAACTGTGTGGAGAACCTAGGTAAGATATGCTTTAAAGTCTTGTCCCTGTAATAGGAATTTTATCAGTTACTTCTCATAGGTATGGGTCAGAGCCACCCCACCACTGTACTGTCATACTGTCAAACATCATTTTCTCACGGCTAAATTGTGCTACTGCTAGTATCTTTTCAGGTGGAGAGCCTAGGAGCCTTTGCTGCCAGCTCCCCACTGCCGCCCTCTTCCCCACCCCCAGACTCGCCAGTGGCTCTTCTCTCAAACACTGCATTGGCCTGGGCATGAAAGGAACATGCTGAGCCTGACCTTACAGGAGGTTAAGGTCTCCTTAATTCCCCCACACCTTCAGCTGTTTCCCACTGGACTCCTCTGCAGAGAGCTAGCTCCTGTTCCTGTATTTTGTTATCTTAGGAAATAACATTTGGGAGACCAGTGAAGGAATGGCATGAATACAGCTCAAGGAAGGAGGAGAATGGGATGACAGAAGGGTAATGTGGTCGATTTTAACTTCCTCAGGGAAAAATAAGAGGATGTAACAAAAAATCATCTTTCTTAGAGAACTGTGGGAAAGATTTGGTAGGGTAGACAGAAAATTCTAAGAGTATTCAGGAACAGCATGATCAAATGGGCCTAATCAATTTGAATTAAAGGTGCCGAAAATGCCTTTAGGTTAAGACATGCTTTGGGTGGATCATTTTGAAATTTCCTCATTAAAATGTTTAAAAACGTACCAAAGGTATCAGAAGAGAGAGAAGAAAAGTTCAAAAACAAGGGTCTGTTTCTAGCTGTCTTCCTGGTTAGCTTTTCTGTGAATTTTTTTTTTCATGTAATTTAAATGAATCTACATCCAGAGGCAGAGGCAAGTGGATTACTTGAGGTCAGGAGTTTGAGACCAGCCTGGACAACATGGTGAAAGCGTCTCTACTAAAAATATAGAAATTAGCCAGGTGTGGTGGCAGGTACCTGTACTCCCAACTACTTGGGAGGCTGAGGCAAGAGAATTGCTTGAACCTGGGAGGTGGAGGTTGCAATGAGCCCGGATCATGCCACTGCACTCCAGCCTAGGTGACAAAGCAAGACTCTGTCTCCAAAAAAAAAGGCCGGTGGCTCACCCCTGTAATCCCAGCACTTTGGGAGGCCGAGGCGGGTGGATCACGAGGTCAAAAGATCGAGACCATCCTGGTCAACATGGTGAAACCCCGTCTCTACTAAAAATACAAAAAATTAGCTGGGCATGGTGGCACGTGCCTGTAATCCCAGCTACTCAGGAGGCTGAGGCAGGAGAATTGCCTGAACCCAGGAGGCAGAGGTTGCAGTGAGCCGAGATCGTGCCATTGCACTCCAGCCTGGGTAACAAGAGCGAAACTCCATCTCAAAAAAAAAAAAAAAAAATCCATATTCATTTGTCTTTGAATTGAAATTTTATATTTCTTATAAGAACCATATTATGTTTTTTAAATATAAGCCAACTCAAATTTCTGTTATTAAAAACAGACAACGTAACATTCACATCTGAGCATTGTACCATGTAATAAAAACATGTCTGTATTTCAGAATATTTTCAACACATCAATGTCTACAACCCTGGTGAGTATGCTCTAATTTTTAAAAATAATCTTGGTTGTTTACTGTGGCTCATGCCTGTAATCCCAGAACTTTGGGAGGCTGAGGTGGGTGGGTCATTTGAGCCCAAGAGTTCGAGACCAGCCTGGGCAACATGGCGAAACCCTGTCTCTACAAAAAATACAAAACTTAACCAAGCATGGTGGTGTGCATCTGTAGTCGCAGCTACTTGGGAGGCTGAGGTGGGAGGATCACTTGAGCCTGGAAGGTAGAGGTTACAGGGAGCCAAGATCATGCCCACTGCACTCCAGCCTGGTTGGCAGGGCGAAACCCTGTCTCCAAAGTTAATAATAATCATCCTTACCTGGATGTTTAGTAGCTCTTTCTTGTTTAGCAAATGTAATTCTTAGTTGAAGAAAATTTGCAGATATAAAGCAGTGACTTGGCCTGTATGAGAGGCCAAAAAAACAAAGAACCTATTCTAGGGAAATGTACCTTCCTGAAATGAGAGAACTAGGTTTGTGGAGATTTGAACAATATGGACACTTTCTGGGCAGTAAGAGTGGTGAGAATGAAGAGCTAGTCATTCTTGACCAGTTCTGGGGCTTCTTAGGAATAGCACTCTATTCAGTCATTGAAATGAACCCATGTGACTCCAAATATTCAGACGAAAATACAAAATTCAGTGGATTTGCATCTCTCAAATACACTGATGCTTGATGTTTAACATGATTTAACTAAAATATGTGGGTGATTAGATGTTCTTAAAGTTTCCACTTAAGGATATATGGCCCAAATCATTTCTTTGCATGTAAGCTCCTTATCATGTGTTTGGCTCATGTGGCCACAATAAATTTTTCTTTGTTGGAAAGAGAAAAGTTTCCAGCCTTTTTAAAATATGCAATTTGCTTCATGTTTGGGAAGATACCTCCTGTCCTGATAGAAGTGAAGCATTTTATGCCTTGAGGACTTGCTTAGCTGTCCTTCTTTTTATTGTTCTGTTGCAGTCACAGGTTCTACTGTTCACTTCATGGGGACTTCAGCTGACTCTTCAAAACAGACATTTTCTCGGCTCCTTGAGATCCCTGGGAGACTAGCTATTTGTAATGACTTTTCTTAATAGTGGGGGCAGAGAATATCCCAGCTCATTAGCCAAGGTACATTTAGATTCTGGCCAGCACTTAAGTCTAGTAGGGTAGTTTCCTGGACATATCAAATGGTTCTTTATAGTCATATTTCCTAAAAATAATTTTGCTATAGCTATGGTAACTGCCAGTTCTTTTGTTCCATCGTTAAACTGATGAGTTTCTTTTTGTGACTCAGGTAAGAAGAAACAGAAGCTTGAAGACCATGGTAAGACATTTTTTATAAATTCTGGGGGCTTAAATTTTGCAAGATATCTCCTTTTACAGATGGGAATATTTTCATATTTTCTGAAAACAATTTTGCTGTAGCTCTAGTAACTGCCAGTTATTTTGTTCCATTGTTAAAACTGATAAGCTTCTTTTTGTAACTCAGGTGAGAAAAACCAGAAACTTGAAGACCATGGTAAGGCATTTATATAAATTCTGGGGCTTACGTTTTGCAATGTATCTCCTTTTACATGTGGGAACAGGTAAGAATGTCATGGTAAGAAAAGTGAGAAGAAGGCAGAGCCCACCTTAGCTTACTGGTTTGATATATTAGAGACCCTCCTGGGTTTCAGATAGAATTCTTTAGAAAAATGACACAGCAGGTCGGTATCTCCTGTCTAACAATCTTTAGGTCATCCCAGCAAATAGAGGAAGGTGTGACTAATTATTCCTCACATTCTTGAGACCTCTAGGGGATTGGGCAGGGCATAACAAATAGTGTTGTTTTTCTAAATTAAAATGACGATTCTTTGTGTTTATTTCTGTCTCCAGCAATCTGATTAATAGATGACATTAGCTATATCCATTTGATTATTTAGTACATTTCAAAGTATTACTCATCCTCAAGTATTTGTTTTTGTTTTATTTTTAATATTGCTCAAATGGCTAGGTGAGGTGGCTCATGCCTATAATTCCAGCACTTTGGGAGGCTGAGGTGGGTGGATCACAAGGTCTGGAGTTCAAGACCAGCCTGGCCAACATAGTGAAACCCCTGTCTCTACTAAAAATACAAAAATTAGCCAGGCATAGTGGCACACACCTGTAGTCCCAGCTACTTGGGAGGCTGAGGCAAGAGAAACACTTGAACCTGGGAGGTGGAGGTTGCAGTAAGCCAAGATTGCACCACTGCACTCTAGCCTGGGTGACAGAGTGAGGCTCCGTCTTGGGGTGGGGGAAGTACTCAAATGTCCTCAAGGGCACTGGGACAAGAACATTCTCATAAATTACTGGTGAGATTATAAATTGGAATTTTTTTTGGAGAGCAATTTAGTAGTATGTATTACCAGTCTTAAAAATGTTTATACCTTTTGACTTGTTTATGAAACACTTTTGGATATTTATCCCAAGGAAAGTAGAGATGAACACAAAGGTTTTTGTACAAAAGATGTTTATCACAGTGTTATGGTGGTGTCAGAAGACAAAATTACAGCAAATTTAAATATATCAATTGGCTTTATTTGAGATTCTACAATTGGACAACACTTCATTCCACAGAATAAGTGTTCCATTGAGCTGAGCTCAGCAGCGATTCTCCTGCCTCAGCCTCCCGAGTAGCTGGGATTACAGGCTTTAAAGACAGAAGAGCCAAAGAAAGGAGAAGCAAAGAATAGAGTGTATTAGTTACTTTTAGACAGAACAGTAGAAAAATAACTGATTAGTTGACATCAGTTTATTTCAGGCTACCTTTTTTGTGTGTAAGGATTGAAGCAGAGGGAACTTCATTTATCAAGCTGATTGAAGATTTTAAACCGGCCTGTTGGGGAAATTCTGTTACTTCTTTCTCCTAATTTCTTAGAAGGTCAGACAACTTAGTTTAGGTCATGTGGAACTTTAGCATGGGTGATTCCATTTCAATTTTTAGTCTGGTCTGTTGGGGCCTACTGCAGAAACTTAGTCCAAAGCAATGGCCTCCTGTAATTTTTATTTGACAGCAAAAATTTAGAAACAGCCTTAGTGTCCAACCATTGAGTATTGTTAAATAAAATACTATCTATATTATGAAACACTAAACAACTTAAAAATCATGTATTTGAGGCAGGGCGCAGTGGGTCACACCTGTAATCCCAGCACTTTGGGAGGCCAAGGCAGGCAGATCACGAGGTCAGGAGATCGAGACCATCCTGGCTAACACAGTGAACCCCCATCATACAAAAAAATTAGCCAGGCATGGTTGCACGTGCCTGTAGTCCCAGCTACTTGGGAGGCTGAGGGAGGAGAATCACTTGAATGCGGGAGATGGAGGTTGCAGTGAGCCAAGATCGTGCCACTGCATTCCAGCCTGGGCAACAAAGCGGGACTCCGTCTCAAAAAAACAAAACAAAAACAAAAATCATGTTTTTGAAAACATGTAAAGATATAAGAAAATGCTCTTAATACAGTGGTAAATGATAAGATATAAAATAGCATATGGAGTATAGTATTCTTTTAAAAATATATAAGCACATATATGTATGCATAGCAAAATGACTGAAATTTAAGAATGAGTAGAGTAGTTCTGAGATCTGCAATTTTAGAGAATTTTAATTTTTTAATGATTTTTCTCTATTTTTCCAGATTATTTATAATGTATTATATAATCAGGAAGCATACTTTATATATTACATATAATGACAATTTGGGTCAGGGTTTTGGGGTTGAATTTTTAAAAAATGAACAAGAGCTGCTTAATCTAGGAGAGATTCTGGGTCACTAGCCATAGTTTCTACCATCAGTTAGGCTCCAGTGGGTTAAATCTTTTCTGTTACCTTGTCCTCTGCCATTTCTCAAAAGGTTCTGAGTTTTCTACTACAGAAGTCAAGTATAAGGTTAAATTAATTTTCAAGCTGATTGTGTTTTTTTTACTAAATGTATTATATACATTTTTTATTATGTACATTTATTATATACATTTTATTATATATATTTTTATTATATACATTTTTTATATTACATTTTAAGAGAATAGCTCTTATTCTCATCCTTAGGAATAAAAAGCCAGGGGCTCACTCTTTCACCTGGTAAATAACCTATTTACAGAGACTAGCTACACGGTTAGGAGACAGTGAGGATTCCTGGGATGAAGAACACTGTGGAAGGCCAGCACAGTGGCTTACACCTGTAATCCCAGATCTCTGGGAGGTGTATGCAGGAGTATCATAGTGAGTTATGATCGTGTCACTGTACCCCACCCCAGCCTCCCTGCCTGGACGACACAGTGAGACACTGTCTCTCAAAAAAGAAAAAAAAAATACTGAGCCTGGAGAGTTTGAGGAATGAGTTAGACTAGAATGAAGGGACTTGATTTATTGAGTACTCTTTTTTGTTCTATGCAATGTATGAAGCACTTTTATGCAGACTTTCCTTTAATCCTCACTAACTGCAAACCTTCAAGGTAAATATTTCTTTTGCAAAATGAGAAATTGAAGTTAGGAGGGATTAAGTAGCCTGCTCAAAGTCATAGAGCTAATAACTGTAATTACAGTAGAGCTAAACCAAGCAGAAATGCAAAACCAGTACTGTTTCATTCAAAACTGATGCATTAGGACTGCCTTATGAAGATAAGGTTGGAGAGATGAGTTAGATCATGGAAGTTCTTGAAGTCCAGGCTGAGGAGTTTGGACGTGGTTACATTGGAGAATGAAGAGCCATCGAAAAATGTTTTTGTTGTTGCTGTTTCTTTTTTCTTTCCCCCTACCTTTTTTGTTTTGTTTTGTTTTTGAGACAGAGTTGGAAAGGAGGAAGTATAGACAAAAGAGAGCATTACCAGTATAAGAGAACTGATTAATGCAAACCAATATTCACTTCTGCCTTTAGGTATGAAAATCCTTGAACCCACCCAAATACCTGGTAAGACAACTTTTCTATTTACTCCTTGAGCCCAAGAATGAGGTGAGCACGATTCCCCAGGCATAAAAGAGAATACTGTCATGAGACTGTTATTCATGAGTATTTCCCTTATAGCTGCCTGCCAGTCATCTACAATATTTAGCTTGGGGAGAGCAGAGAAAGTGCCTTTGCTCCTGCACATTCATGTGCTCCTGGAACATCGTCTCTGGGGTGGGAAAGTTAGTTCTGCTCAGGATATGGCTGAGGGAAAGGCTCCTGGGATCTGGATGCATCAATCCAGCACCTTCCAGGTTCTACAGCTAAAGTTATTCAATAAATAGAAACCTAACTTTATGCACAAGTTGACTGTTAGTCTTGGCTAACATTTCATTGTCTGTATCTCCAGGTAACAAAACACGGTATTCTCCTGGCATAGGCACACTCTTTGAAGTGCTATGGCAGAAGACTCCTCTAATCTTGGTGTGGATTTGTAGAATGAGGGTTTATATAGGCAGAACTTTTAAATAAAAAGCCAGAAACTGTAGTGCAGTGGGGCCTTTGGTGCTTGCATCTCTTAAGCTCATCAGACAAGAGTTTGAAAATTATACTCAGTGGAGCAAACTATAAGTCATTGAAAACTTTTCTCATTTAGGAATGAAAATTCCAGAACCTTTTCCATTACCTGGTAAGTGACTGATAGACATGCCAGAGGGGAAGATGCCAGTTTGGTAGTCACCATTAGACATGCACGGGACTTCCTATGCCTCATAATTGTCATCTATCAAATGTAGCCATCAGTAGTCATACATACAAGACAGGAATATTTATAAGGACTGTAAAACCACAAAATCTCAGGGTGCAAGCCACTGTCCAATGCTTAAAACCCTTTCTTCCCAGTTCACATAGTACTTTGAAAATATTTTTTTGCAGGTTTTGTTATTATGAGAATGATGATCTGTTAAATAAATTAGATAGTTGGCATCTTAAAAATTATATTCAGCCAGGCACGGTAGCTCACGTCTGTAATCCCAGCACTTTGGGAGGCTGAGGGGGACGGATCACCAGGTCAAGAGATAGAAACCATCCTGGCCAACATGGTGAAACTCTGTCTCTACTAAAAAAAAAAAAATACAAAAATTAGCTGGTTGTGGTGGCGCACGCCTGTAGTCCCAGCTACTTGGGAGGCTGAGGCAAGAGAATTGCTTGAACCCGAGAGGCGGAGGTTGCTGTGAGCCGTGATTGCGTCTCTGCACTCCAGCCTGGCACCTGGCGACAGAGCAAGACTCTGTTTCAAAAAGAAAAAAAAAAAACTGTATCCATCCACACAGTGCTGAACTTCATCTAACACTGCTGTCAGTGGAAACTGCATGCTGTATACAGAAACAGTATGTTCTGTTAGTTAAATAAAGCACAAACATAGGCTCAGAGAAAAGGGTCCAGGACCTCCTTTATATTGACCCAAATTTGTGCTGTTGATTTGGCCACAACTTTGAAGTGAACCTCTAGTGACATTGATGACACACCTTGTGCATCTACATCTCTTCAGTTGGCTGGTCCTGAGTTTGCACAGTGCCATCATTGGGGCCTTGCTCATCACACTGTGGTTATCTGAAAGGCAGCCACTGAACATAGTAGAAGATGAATGTGAGCTGTTTAGACAAACAGACCTGGCATCAGGAAGGTCTCTCCTCTGCCACTTTCCTCTGGGTAACTTTGTACAAGTTATTTCACTTTCTATGCCTCTGCTTTCACATCTGTAAAATGAGGAAGGCTTCTGTCTTGCAGGACTGTTGAACGACTTAATGAGATAAAGTACCTAGCAAAATGAATGGTAGTAACAGTAATAAATGGTAGCTGTCTTTGTTATTATCTGACAACCTTTTTCTCATTTAGGAATAGAAGTGATACAACTGAATGAAAAACCTGGTAATACATTCTTTTTTTTTTTTAATTTTTTATTGGATTTTAGGTTTTGGGGTACATGAGCAGAGCATGCAAGACAGTTGCATAGGAACACACATAGTAATACATTCTTTACTGGGGGTGGAGGCACCACAGAGTCTAAGTTCTTTACCACAGTCATTCAGTTAGCTCAGTCTTACGGGGTCTGGGGAAGACATCTGGGCTGTATACTTTTTGATACCCCAGTTTGCAATCCAGACTGGGAAAATGTTGAGAACTTCTTCCTTCAGTGTGAGCAGCAGGCTGTTGTTATTGTTCTCTGGGCCAGACATCAAAAAAGGCACTTGATCTTAAACTGGAACAGTTGGCTTCCAGCTGGGCCTGTCTATTCCAGAATGAGGCAGGAAGCTTCCCAGGGTAAGGGAATCTGTAGACATAGAAATAGCATCAAACTGTGAATGAGGACCATGCAGCGTGCCAATATTGGGACCAGCCATTCTGTACTCCTGACTGCACTCTGTATCCTCCAATAGGTCACTAGATTTTGCTGGGACTAGTGTGTTGTGCCGTCTCCTGGAAAACTGTGTGTAGGTTTTTAAAAGGTGATGTGAAAACAGTACACAGGATCTCATTTAATCCAATAAGGTACATGTTATTGACACTTCAGAGATGAGAACATGGAACATAAGCAGGTTAAGGAATTTATAATAGGCTAGAAAGAGACACCCAAACTTTTCAAGCTCTGTTCACTTTGTGGTACACTTGTATTCCAGCCAGATTTAGTTATTAACCCCTATCCTGGGCTCCTAGAACTGGTATTTGGCTTGAAAGCTGTTAAAATTTGGTGCCATCATAATATTTCAATGCTGGGCACACACTTGGTAGTACAGATGGTCTCCAACTTACATGGTTCTGTAAGAATTAAAGAGGAAAGAAACATGAAAAGGTGGCTTGCCAGTTAGGACAGATTTATTTTAGAGAAAACAAACCTGAGAGGCACCTTCTGGCAAGTTAGGTCAGAGGCACGCTCTCTTACAGACTAAGAGTTTTTAAGAATTCATGGTGGGAGAGTCTGTCAGAGGCTTGAACTGCTTCTGTGTCTCTTTGTTGTGCTTATCTGGGAGGAAGAGTTGTGTGTCTGTCCCATACATCTTTCTACAGCTGCAGGCATATCCCCAAGTCTGCTTTTAGCTTCCCTATCTTAGTGCACCTGAAGGGAAAGGAATGTGCTTTTTAAGGCCCACTTTTTACTGGGGCCCATTATATGAGGGTGAAGTTTGGCAGTTACCCAAGAGACTTTCCTGCCACCTCCTTCTGTGCCCAAGCTGTTTTATTTGTGTTTTACTGTTTGCTCTTTCTGGACACCCGTAGTTAGAACAGAAGTGATTTCCCTGAAATGCATTAGTCTAGAAAGCGAACTAGAACTTAAAGTGATGGTGATTGTCTGAGATGACAGTGCTCCTGCTCTGTCAGGTTCAGCTTAGGATTTGTCGACTTTGCAATGGTCTGAAAGCCATACACATTCAGTAAAAACCATACTGTGAATGCCTATATCATTCTCTTTTTCATGTTCTGTACATTATTCAATAGATTACATGAGATATTCAACATTTTATTATCGAATAAGCTTTATGTTCAGTGATTTTGCCCAACTGCAGGCTCATGTAAGTGTTCTGAGCACATTTAAGGTAGGCTAGGTTAAGCCATGATGTTCTTGTAGATTGGGTGTGTTAAATGTATTTTCAGCTTACATTGGATTTATTGAGACACAACTCCACCATAAGTTGAAGAGCACTTGTATAGCACAGTAATTCAGAGCAAATTTGAAATTAGATATTTCTAGCACCAGTTAACTCTGATTTTATGCATGGCATCCCTCAAAACATTGCATAAACGTTTTAAGGAATAGCTATGAAATGTGGATAATTATACTGGCCTAATAAGACTGTTAAGAAGTAAAGGTGACAATGTACATAAGCATTTGCACAATGCATGGCACACAGTAAACTCTCAATGAATTGTAGTTATTCATGTTGTACTTGGGAATCTGAGTTCAATATGTAGAAAATACGTTTTTGTAAACAAAATTTTAACTTTTATTTTAATGTAAACACATATTGATGGTTAAAAAAAATTCAAAGAGCACAGATGAGTACAAATTAAACCCTTCCCCCAACCCCACACATACCCGTAAACTGATTACCCTGCCCTTCAGACCCACTCCCAGAGATAACCAAGTTTGCTTAATTTTTAATCAGATCTTTGTCTTCTGGATGAACAGATGTACAGTGTAATTAACTCAAAATCTCTTTATATTTTAGAAGATAAAAGTCAAGGAAATACCAACAATCCTAGTAAGAAATATCTCATTTCCTCAGTTGATAAATGCCTGTTTCTGTAATGTAGAAAAAGTGAGAAATTAATTTTTCCACATAAAGGGAACAAAGTTGCGAATGTTTAAGGCATCTTAATAACAGAGTATAATGTCATATCCCGAAGCTTGTGTGTGCATGTGTGTGTTAGGGACAATATAACTTTGTTTCTTAAATAATCATTTTCTATTGTATCTAGAGTCTCTACTCTTTAGAACACTGGTTCTCACCAGCCTGGAGACTGGGAGCAAAATATAAAAAGAAAAAATACATTAAAAAAGAAAGAACAGTGGTTCTCAACCCTTTCAACCCAATTCTCCCTTCTTATAACTCATATTAAGTCCTTATATTATCCTGACAGAATAAGATGCACCTGTAACCATAAAAAACATCATGTCATATGTAATTTATGTTAAATTACATATATTCCAATATGTAAATGCTTAGTTTATACTAAGAGGTTTAATAAAGTAGACAGATGTTTACATTTATTTATGCAAATAAATTTGGGTTGAAAAGAACATTGGAAGCTATTCTATACAGGAAGTATAAGAAAATGGAAGAAATACAGTAGATACTAAATAAAAATTGAGTATAATGTTTATCAAAACTATTAAAATATTTTTTAATACATAAAACTGCTTTGATTATTTTAAATAGGTTTTAACTTACATATATGTCTAGCAGTACAATTGAAAGTTGTGCAGGAAGTCAGCCAATTTTTCAGGGTCCAGGACTGGAGCACTGTAGGATATCTAGTCCTCTACCTCCACCCCACTGTTGGCATTGATAAAAAAAAAATACTCTTGAAAATTGTCCAGACTGCCTCTTGGAGCAATACTGCCTCGTGAGAGCCATTGGTCTATGGTAACATACCATCATCATGCATTGCTTAATGATAGAGATGTGTTCTGATTAATGTGTTGTTAGGTGATTCTGTCGTTGTGCAAACATCATAGTGTGTACTTACCCAACCCTAGATGGTAGAGCCTGCTACACATGTAGGTTACATGGTACAGCCTACTGCTCTTAGGCTACAAGCCTTTATAGCATGTTACTGTACTGAGTACTGTAGGGAACAGTAACACAGTGGTATTTTTATATCTAAATATAGAAAAGTTATGGTAAAAAAATAAAAGATAAAAAGTGGTACAGGTGTACAGGACACTTAACATGAATGGAGCTTGTAGGCCCAGAAGTTGCTCTGGGCGATGAGTGTTGAGTGAATGTGAAGGCCTGAGACACTACTGTACACTCTTGTAGACTTTATACATACTGTACAGAGGCTAAGCTAAATTCACTAAAAAATTTCCTCTTAAACAGTAAACCATAGTTTAATGTAACTTTTTTACTTTATAAACTTAATTTTCTTTAACTCCTTGATTCTTTTTTATAGTAACACTTAGCTTAAAACACATTGTAGAGTAGTACAGAAATATTTTTTCTTTATATCCTTATTCCAGAAAGCTTTTTTATCACCTTTTTCTTTAACTTTTTAAACTTTTGTTAACAACTGAGACACAAACATAGAGATTAGCCTAGGCCTGTACAGGGTTAGGATCATCAATATCACCGTCTTCCACCTCCATGTCTGGTTCCACTGGAAGGTCTTCAGGGTCAGTAACATGCAGCATGCATAGAACTGTCATCGCCTATGATAATGGCTTCTGGAGTATCTCCTGAAGGACCTGCCTCAGGCTGTTATATAGTTAATTTTTTTAATAAGTGAAAATGCAGTCTAAAATAATGATTAAAAGTATAGTAAATACATAAAACAGTAACATAGTTGTTTATTATCAAGTGTTATGTATTGTACATAATTGTATATGCTATAGTCTTACACAGCTGGCAGTGCAGTAGTTTATTTACACAAGCATCACCCCAAACACGTAATATGTGACAATGGCTACAGTGTTGCTAGGCAATAGGAAGTTTTCAGCTCTGTTATAATCTCTGTCATATATGTGGTCTATCATTGATGGAAACATCGTTATGCATTGCATGACTGTACTAATGCATGCGTGCATCTGCCTATCCATTTCTCCGTGTTTATACATCTAACTGCATGTTTATAACTATGGCAAGTAAATTGATGATATGAAGGCTTTTACAGATCTTACTGGCTATTTTTCTTGGTTTTATTTATGAAATCTGAGTGGTGATCCCATTTGGATACTTTCAGTCAACACTTGCCTATAGTTTAAACAAAAACAGTTACCTGAGTTTAGAGCAGCATGAAACAGTTTATCCTATGGATGGACTCCACCGCTCCTCTCCACTAGTTCAAATGAAAGAGAAGGAGTTTTTCCAGCAATGTATGTATGAAGGGAAAAATATTTATTTATTTTTATCAACTTGCAGAGATTAGTGTTTAAAAAACAATGCAGCTATAGTTAGCCCTCTGTATCCTCTGGGATTCAACCAACTGTGGATTGAAAATACTTAGGGGAAAAATAATACAAATTAAAAAACCCATTCAGTGTAACAACTACTTACATATCATTTACATTTTATTAGATGATATAAGAAATCTAGAGATGGTATAAGGTATACAGGAGGATGTGTGTAGGTATATGGAAATACTGTGTATGCTATTTTATTTAGTTAATTAATTTATTTTTGAAACAAGCTGTTCTGTCGCCCAGGCTGGAGTGCAATGGTGCAATTTCGGCTTACTGCAACCTCCACCTCCCGGGTTCAAGTGGTTCTCATGCCTCAGCCTCCCAAGTAGCTGGGATTACAGCATGCCCCATCATTCCAGGCTAAGTTTTGTATTTTTAGTAAAGGTGGCGTTTTGCCATGTAGCCTAGTTGGTCTCTAAGTCCTAGCCTCGAGAGATTTGCCTGCTTCAGTCTCTCAAAGTGTTGGGATTCCAGGCGAGAGCCACTGTGCCTAGCCGTGTATGCTATTTTATATAAGGGACTTAAGCATCTGTGGATTTTGGTATCCTTAGGGGTTCTAGAACCGATCCCCAAGGATACTGAGGGATGACTGTATATCCAGTTGTATGTTGGTGGTAATCTTGTTTGAAATAGAAGAGACACAGAGTTAAACTTTACCTTGCATGTATATACAAAAAATGGAAATAGAAAAATTGGTAAAAAATGCTAGAGAACTTGAATAACATAAAATCATTATCTTGCCTACATAGAAATGTAAAAGCATGTGAAATCCTAGATAAAACCTAGTCAGCTGGCTGTGGTAGCTCACACCTGTAATCCCAGCACTTTGGGAGGCTGAGGTGGGTGGATCACAAGGTCAGGAGTTCAAGACCAGCCTGACAAATATGGTGAAACCCTGTGTCTACTCAAAATACACACACACACAAAAATTAGCTGAGCATGGTAACGCACACCTGTAATCCCAGCTACTCAGGAGGCTGAGGCAGGAGAATCCCTTGAACCTGGGAGGTGGAGGTTGCCGTGAGCTGAGATCACACCACTGCATTTCAGCCTAGGTGACAGAAGGAGACTCCATCTCAAAAACAGCAACAAAAAAAACCTTAGGGTCGCAGGCCTTCATATATAGTCCACCCTTGAACAACACAGGTTTGGACTGCATGGATCCACTTATACACAGATTTTTTTTTCAATAAATATACTGGAAAATTTTTTGGAGATTTGCATCAATTTGAAGAAACTTGCAGACAAACTGCATGGCCTAGAAATATTTTTTAAAAATAAGAAAAAGATATGTCATGAATGCATAAAATATATGTAGATACTAGTCTAGTTTATCATTTACTACCATAAAACATAAAATACCATGTGTTGCTCAACATCTCTGAGGAGTTCGCTGCCAGTAAATTGCACATTACAGTAAAAAGGGATCTCTCACAGTTCTCATGTATTTTTTGTCATGTTTGGTGCAATACCATAAACCTTGAATAACACCATGGGACTCACAGGAAGTGCCACTAGTGATGCTGGAAGTGCTCACAAGCAGAGAAAAGTCATGATGTTACAAGACAAAGTAGAATTGCTTGGTATGTAGATTGAGGTCTGCAGCTGCAGTTGCCAGCCATTTCAGACAGATAATTCATCTTGTAAACAGATGATGTAAACTAGGTTATTAATATATACACTACAGTACTATAAATGTATTTTTCTCCTCCCTATGATTTTCTTAATATTTTCTCTATTGTAAGAATGCAATACATAATACATATAACTTTCAAAATATGTGCTAATCAATTATTTTTATCTTTTTAAAAATAGAGATGGGGTCTCGCTGTGTTGCCCAGGCTCAAACTCCTGGTCTCAAGCGATCCTCCTGCCTTGGCCTCCTAAAATGCTGGGATTACAGGTGTGAGCCACCATGCCCCAACTAGAATACAGTATGTAATACATATCGTCTACAAAATATAACCTAAAAAGCAAGCATGGTATGCATGATGAGTGATCCATCCACTAGATTATATGGCTCAGTGAGTAACAATTCTCATTAACTATTTATATTACCAGTAAGGCTTCCAGTCAGTGATAGGCTATTAGTAGTTAAGTTTTTGGGAATCAGGTTACATGTAGGTTTTCATTGTGTGGGGACTGGCACCCCAACACCCATATTGTTCCAAGGGTCAACTGTATTTGGAAATATAGCCTGAAATCTGTAATGAATTACATTTATTTGAAAACTGTTCTTGGCTGGAAGTATTTCAGGTAAGTTTCTAATTCAACTTTAGTGTCATTGTTTAGATATTCAGGATATATCATATAGGTGGATGATATTTGATATAAAAAATGATGTGTCAGTGACTGTGTATTCTTGTTAACAGCTCCAGGTCCAGTTCCTGTTCCAAGTCCCAAAAGCCATCCTTCTGCATCTCTAGGCAAAATGCTGCTTCCACAGTTTGGGATGGTCATTTTAATCAGTGTTTCTGCTCTAAATCTCTTCATTGATCTGTAGTATGATACACTGTTTATCTTT